AGGGGCGCCTGGGTGGCTTAGTCGGTTAAGCGTCCGACTTTCGCTTAGGTCATGATCTCGCGGTTCGTGGGTTCGAGCCCCGCGTCGGGCTCTGTGCTGACTGCCAGCTCAGAGCCTGGAGCCTGGTTCAGTCTGTGACTCCCTCTCTCTCTGACCCTCCCCTGCTCACGCTGTCTCTCTCTCTCTCTCCTAGAAATAAAACATTAAAAAAATTACTTTAAAAAAAAAAAGCATTTAAAAAAATAAGTAAATAAATAAAATGGGCCTAATATGCACTTCTTTACAGAACTACCATGAAGACTAGTGAGAAACTGAGGGTTATATATTTAGCATGGTTACTGACATGTAGTGACTTTTTTCTTTTAATTTAGCAAACACTCCCACAGCACTTAACTCTGTGCCTTACACTGCCTCTGTTTTTAACTGTTTTTTTTTGAGAGACAGAGAGAGAGAGAGAGAGAGAGAGAGAGAGAGAGAGAGACACCATGAAAGGGGTGGGGCAGAGAGAAAGGGGGCAGAGGATCCAAAGCGGGCTCCATGCTGACAGCAGCGAGCAGATGCGGGGCTTGAACTCAGGAGTCCCAAGATCACGACCTGAGCCGAAGTGGGAAGTTCAACCAACTGAGCCACCCAGGAGCCCCTGGAATGGCTTCTAAGTGTCTTCCACCGGAGTTTCTCAAACTAGACTCTACCGACATTTGGGGGTGAGATAACACTAGGCTGGTGGGGGAAGGGGGCTGTCCTGTGCACTAGACTGTTTAGCAGAGTCCGTGGCCTCTACCTACTAAATGCCAGTAGCACCCGCTCCCTCCACTAATATGACAATCAGGAATGTCGCCGGACACTGCCTGGGGGGGGGGGGGGCGGGTCAAAATCGTCCCCAGTTAAGAACTGCTGCCTTACTTACTGAATTAACTCCTACGACCTTCACATTAACATCTGAGGGCAGGCAGTCTTGCGAAGCCCATTTTACACACGTGAAAATCGTGCAACAGGGAGATTATGTGATTCCCCCGACTGCACACAGCTGGGGGTCTAGGCTTCCACCCCGGAGAGCCGCTCTAAAGCGGCGCAGCCTCCGATAAACGTTAGGTGCTGCTATCATGATTATTTTTTTTTAATGCTTATTTATTTTTGAGAGAGAGACAGAATATGAGTAGCGGAGGGGCAGAGAGAGGGAGACACAGAATCGGGAGCAAGCTCCAGGCTCTGAGCGGGCAGCACAGAGTCCGACGCGGGGCTCGAACTCACGGACCGCAAGATCATGGCCTGGGCCACCCGGGCGCCCCGTGAACTATTATTTTAGATGCCAGGAGTTTGGGGAGCGCTGGCTTCCCCAGGACTTCAGATTCCTAAAACCTAGCCATCCAGAAAGTTCAGCCTTAGACGCACGCGGGGCAGTCCCACTTGTCAGGTGGGAAGCGGCGGCCGGGGCCCACCCACCTTGGCGTCCAGGGTGCGTTTGAGCTCCAGCATGTAAGAGAACTGCTCCGGGTAGATGTAGTCGTAGGGGAAGTAGACCAGCAGCCCGTCCACGTTGAGCCTGGCGGCGGGGGCGGCTGGGTCAGCCCCCCGCCCGCTGGGCCCCTCCCCAGCCCCCACTCTCCTCTCGTGGTCCGGCCGAGAGGAGCCACCTGCCGGTCCCCCTGCCCCCGAGCATCCCCCACTTGCCCAGGAGCCGCGCGGGTCCCTTCGGCATCTCCTCGCTGACCGTCCTCGTTACCGCCCCACGGGTCCCCGCGGCTAACCCCGCTCCTCCGGCACCCTCTCGCCCTGCCCAGGCCCCGGGCTCGCCCACTGGCCCCTCCATCTTTTAGACCCCGCCAAACCCGCCCGCCAGCAGCAAACCCCGAACCCCGTCTCACTTCATGGCGCCGGCCGCGGCGAGAAGCGGCGTTGACCCGCCTCCCTCATAAATATTCAGAGCAGCGGGATCCGCGGGGAGGCCTCGAGGCGCCGCTCCTCCTTTCTCACGACGCCATTGGCTGAAGCCGCCCGTCACTCTCCTGGGGCGGGGTTTGGAGGGGTAATGCGCGTGCGCACTGCAATGCGGGGGGGGGCGGACCCCCGGGAGAGGAGGTGTCGGAGGCGTAGCTGAGGATCGCCGAGTGCCAAGAACAAAACATGAAGGCAGAGAACCGAGAGAATCGATCCCATTCATTACTGTTTGGTCTTCCTGCATCTGCATAGATCATCTAGCGGACAGTCGAAAGGAAATGACAGGAAAATTGGGGACCCTTACAGAGCCCACGATTTAGGAATGTCTTCGCTGCACAAGACAAACATGCATCTGTGAAATGCCTGCTGTGCCCTAGACTTCTCTCATTTAGTCACCGCCTACTGTTTGCCAGATACTCTCCTAATCAGGCAGTAATGCAAAGGCTTGATGGCTAAGGTGTGGACTCTGGAACCAAAATGCCTGGTCCAAATCTTGGCTCCACTGACTATTAGCTGAGTGACCTTGGTCAAATTAACTTCTCGTCTGCAAAGTAGGAACAATTAGATTCTCTACCACGTAGATGATCCTTAAATTAACCCACATAAGGCAATTAAAACTGGGTTTAGCTCATACCAAGCATTCCGTAAATGCTGGTAGTAGCTTTTATGTGATTGTTCAACAACTAGAAATGGGATCTCTACTCTGTCCCTCACGTGACCCTTTGCTAGGCCCTGGGAACACAAAGGTGACCAAGACAGCCCCTGTTCCTGTCCTCAAAGAACGGACATTAAGCCTACAAATCAATATATGGTTACAAGCATGACCAGCGCCGTGACAGGAAAATTCTGGAAACCATAGGGCTACATACAGAGAAAGCGCTGTTGACGAAGGGGTGTGGAGTGGTCAGAAACGCCTTCCTTGAGGAAACGAGGTTTGAGTAGAGACGGGAAGTTCGAGAAGGGGATGCACGCGAGAAGTGGAAACTGTGTTGGTGTTCCAGCCAGAGGGAATATTGTACACAAATCCGTGGCCAGAAGAAAGCGAAGGAAGCTTGTTTGCTGGAAGGGCAGAGGCAAAGAGAGAGGAGAGACAATGTAGCTGGAGAGGGCAGGGCCAGGCCAAACATCTTTAGAGCGGCCTGCAGAACCCTCTTTAACTATTGCACCCCCTGAATACCCCCACACCGACCCACCTTCCCTCTCTAATCCCCTCCGCTCCCACCTAGCTCTTTCTGTTTCAGCCACATTATCCTCCTTGCTGTTTCCAGAACACTCCAGGCACCTCCCACCTTAGGCCCTCTGCACCTGCTCTTTCCTCTGCCTGGAATGCTCTTTCCCCTGGTTTCCATGTGCCTGGACTGCCTCGCATCCTTCAGATCCGTGCTGTCAATGGCACCAAATTAAATTTAAACCCCCCCCCTCCCACACACACACAAACTCATACACTACCCACTGTATCTGCCTCCCCCTGCTTTATTTTTCTTCGGAGCCCATCAGACCACCTGAAGTGCTAAATATTTGACTTTTTTATTTTGTTTACAACAGCAGCTCCATAAGGACAGGGGTTTTGTCCATTTTGTTCACTCCCACATCTGCAGTCCTTGCTACTGGGCCTGGCACACAGTGAGGCATCAATAAATATCCGTGGGAGGAGTAAATAACCACGGGGGAGGGAAACAGTCAAATTTGCGTTCTGAACCCATCAGTCACTTGGGGTGCCTTGAAACTGGCAAAGAGAGTCAGGCTAAGACCTCGGAAGTGGGGCGCCTGGCTGGCTCAGTCGGTTAAGCGTCCGACGGCCAAGAAAGAATTCTGGAAGACGTCTTTGGTGCAAAAAGGTGAGGTTATGAAAGCATGGGGACAGGACCCGTGGGCAGGAAGAGCTGCACTAGGGTTGTCACCAATAATTTGTAATATACCCTCAGGTTGGGAAGGGGTCAGGGATAGAGTCTCTAAGGAATTTTGGAAGCGAGGTTCCCAGGACCTTGAGGGGCTGGCTAGGGAAGCTAGGGAAACGCCCTTTGTTACCTTTTGTTAAAAAAAAAAAAGCCTCAGTCATGAGACCCTTCAGATGGGGGGGGCACATAAACTTGAAGCATGATTGGCAGCATATATTTAGGGGCAGTTGAGATAAAGGAAGGGGACTTACAGGATCCTCAAGGTTGGGATAATGTTAAGTAAGGTTCCCTTTTGCCCCTAGCAAAGGTTCATCATGGAGGCAGCTGAACTCCTGGAGGGAGGTCACTGCCAATTTCAAGGACATCAATGGGCTGCAGCAGTAAGGGAATTTGATTTCTCATTTGCCTTAGTTTCCCACGTCACTGTGGGAAGCACTTAACCCCCCTTCCTTTGTTAGTGGGTAGCCAGGAGTGTCGGGAAGTATCCCACATATTCCACCTGGGGCAGGGCCTGTATTTTGCCCTCAGCTTGCGCCACACTCCCCCATCACCTTCCATTTCAGAGAACCTTGCTCCTCCCCCAAGGAGCAACTAGCCCTGTCTCGCTGCTTACTCCCCTGCTTTCTATCCGTCTCCACTGGTGCCCTCTGTCTACAATGCCTTCTCCCCCACCTTACCCTTGCTCACTCCTATTCCTCAATTCACCTCCAGGTCTCAGAGACGTCCCCTTCTCCAGGAAGCCCTCCCTGACAACCCCCAGGCTGGGTCAGGCACCATCTCTGGGCTCCTCCATCCTCTCGCTGGTTACTTTGTTCAAGTGGGGGGAAAGGAGGAAGGACATTCTTATTTTTTAATACAGCTTTCTTTTTTATTTATTTATTTATTTTTTTTGGAGAGAGCACGCACGCACACGCATCCACGTGCACAGTTTGGGGAGGAGCAGAGAGAGAGTAAGACAGAATCCCAGCCAGGCTCCTCACCTTCAGCACAGAGCCTGATGAGGGGCTCGAACTCATGAACCGTCAGATCATGACCTGAGCTGAAATCAGGAGTGGGACACTTAGCTGACTGAGCCACCCAAGAATATGATGAAACCAGGTTTATGATGAAATGAAGTTGAGGACTGGACTGACGTGAGCCAGACATCCTACTAAGCGTCCTGCTAACCTGACTAACGCCATTTCCCACTATCCCCCCACCCCCGAGTCCCCCGAGTTTCTCCTCCCAGCCATACTTTGGCTTTCTGGCTCTTCTGCACAGCACCGGACCTGCGCTGGCTGGCGAATATGCACAACAAATTACCCCCAAATGTAATGGTCCAGAACAACAGCATCATCTCAAGGGGGCTGCAGGTTGGGAATTGCAAGCAGCTGCAGACATCCCATCTCCTCTGGGGAGCAATCCACCGCTAGGCTCACCAGGTGGTTGCTGAGATTCATTTCCTTGTGGGCTGTAGGCCAAGGCCACCTTCAGGTCCCGGCCACATGGGGGTCCCTGAAGGCAGCTGGCTTCATCAGGCGGAGAAGCAAGGCGAGCCAGAGAGAGGTGCAAAGAAGACAGAAGTCACTGTCTTCTGTAATCTGGTGTCAGAAGGGACGGTCCATCACTTTTGCTGAGTTCCATTCCTTAAAAGATATCCCTACATCCAGGCCCTGGTCAAGGGGAGGGGTTCCTCAAGGGCGAGAACACCAGGAGGCAGGAATAATCCCGAGCCACCTTAGAATGACTTCCTCCAGCCTCCTCTGAGCCCCTGCAGTCACTGCTCCCTCTGTCTGGAAGGCTCTTCCCCCAGGTCTCCGTGTGGCTTCCTCCCTCCCCTTCCCTCCCTCAAACATTCTGTAAACCTCCTTTATCAGCGAGAACTTCCCGGCCAATCTATTTAAAAAATTTTTAAGGCTTATTCATTTTTTCAGAGACAGAGACAGAGCTCTGCGAGGGGCGGGTGGGGAAGGGAAGGGACAGAGAGAGACATACACACAGAATCTGAAACAGGCTCCAGGCTCTGAGCTGTCAACACAGAGCCCTATCCAGGGCTTGAACTCACCAACTGGGAGATCATGCCCTGAGCTGAAGTCCTACGCGCTTGCTTAACCGACTGAGCCACACAAGGCGCCCAGAACCAATCTACTGAAATTGCAATACTCCCGGGGCACCTGGGTGGCTCTGTTAGTTAAGCATCTGACTCTTGATCAATATCAGGTTGATCTCATGGTTCCTGGCTTCTCAGTGGAAGTGTGGAGCCCAGTTGGGATTCTCTCTCTCAAATAAGTAAAACTTAAATTGCAACACCCCCTGGGTAGGCTGAATAATGGTCTGCAAAGATCTCTGGGCCCTTGATCTCTGGATTCAACACACTTTGCAGGTGCAATGAAGTTAAGGCACTTGAGATATCCAGGTGTGCCCCCAAGTATAATCACAAATGTCCTTATAAGGGAGAGATCCAACAGCAGGGCAGAAACAGAGGCAATGTACCAGAATCTAGAAGCTCCACTGCAGGAGGAAGGGGGGAGAGTCAAAGAAAATAAGGAATGCGACTCCAGAAGCCAAGAAAGGCAAGGAAAAGGACTCTCCCACAGAGCCTCGGGGAACGCAGCCCTGCCAAGGTTGGCTTCAGCCAGTGAAACTGATTTTTTTTGTTTGGGCTTCCAACCTTCAGAACTGTAAGAAAAATAAATGTGTGTTGTTTTAAGCCTGAGTTCAGACTCATTTGTTGAGGCAGCCAAAGGAAATGAATCTACCACCCAAGCAGGTGCGATATATCCGCCTCTCCTGATTCAGTTTATTTCCCACAACGGTGATCAGCATCTGAGGTATTTTTTCTGCTTAGTATTCTATTTCTTGTCTGCCTCTTCCACTAACATACCGGCTTTAATATTACAGTGATTTTGTAACTGTTTATTATGGACAATGTCAAACATTTTTTAATGTTTATTTCTTTTTGAGAAAGAGATAGAGACAGAGAGACAGAGAGGCAGAGCGCAAGCAGGGGAGGGGCAGAGAGAGAGGGAGACACAGAATCTGAAACAGGCTCCAGGCTCCGAGCTGTCAGCACAGAGCTGGACATGGGCCCGAGCCCAGGAAACGCGAGATCATGATGGGAGCCGAAGTCCGGTGCCTAACTCACTGGGCCACCCAGGCGCCCCTCATTGAGCTTTACTTAATTTAAATTTAAATAAGCCATACCCTCAACAAGGCCACATGGATTTCCAGTAGGTAAAGCCCTGCTGAGGACAGTGTCACAAGCCACAGTTTGAACACAAGTGAGTGAACAATCCGGCATGAGCGAGAACCAGCAGACACGGCAAACTGTAGAATGAGGTGGCCTCGAACTTCAGGTGATAGTATCAAACATATACTATAAAATAACTAAGTGTTGGGCGCCTGGGTGGCTCAGTCGGTTAAGCGTCCGACTTCAGCTCAGGTCATGATCTCATGGTTTGCAAGTTCAAGTCCCTCATCAGGCTCTGTGCCGACAGCTCAGAACCTGGAGGCTTCAGATTATGTGTCTCCCTGTTTCTCTGCCCCTCCCCCACTCATGCTCTCTCTCCCTCTCTCTCTCTCAAAAATAAACATTTAAAAAATTTTTTTAAATAACTAAGCTTAAAATATTTAAAGACCTAAAGAGCCCAAAACATGAAGGATCAAGAAGTTACCAAGAAAACCCCCCAAAAAACAACAAAAAAACCCCATTAAAAAGCCCCCTCCCCCAAAGAAAACAAACAAAAGCAAGAAGTCCCTTAGAAAGGGGCCGCCTTAATACCAGCTTGCAAATACAGTAACAGTGATGAGTGCTTATTAAGTCAGAAGGGGGTCCCAAGAGAGAGAGGTCAACTTCCGTGCAAACTACCTTTAATTATAAGGAGAAACTTCCGCAGCTGGTTATAAAACCAGCATGGTGTGAAGGCACTTGACTGGGGAGAGGTGGGGCAGGGGTCCGGGTAGAGGCTAGTGTCTCTCTCCCAGCTCTGGGGAGACGGGGCAGAGGTGACGCCCAGGGAAATCCAGTGGAGGTGACGCATCGCGGGCTCTCCTAGGATGGGGTCTTGGCTTGTGTTGGGGTGGCAGGGGTTGGCAATAGGAACGGGGGGCGCTTTGGACGGGATCCGATTTGGCAGCTGGAGGGGGAGGGGCGCGGTGTCTCTGGCCTCCCGTGATTCCAGGCCCCGACCTTGACCCCCCCACGGGCTGACAGTTTTGACAGTTTCGGAACTTAAGGCTGGGGTTCTCCTTCTCCCCTGGGCGCCCAGGGAAGCAGAGAGCTGGAGGTGAGGACCCCACCCCTGTGGGGCTGGGGGCCCACGGAGATGCAGCAGTTACTGAGGGAGAGGTCTGGGGCAAAGGTCTGTCGCCCCTGGACACATCCTCCTCTCCAGCTAGACCTTATTCCTCTGGGTCTTCACCCTGGGGAAGAGCTGAGGGGAGACAGGATCTTTAGACCCCAGGAACTCTCCCTCCCTCCTTCCGCCCCCACGTTGAATGGAGTCACCCAATCCACCCCCTCCCCCCAACAGGTGGGCCATCTCCATCCTCCCCTCCCTTCGTTTCAGACTTCAGAATCCCTGAGGTCCCTTTCATGATCAAGCACTAGATGGCGTCTTAGAGTCAGCAGCCCAGTTGATGAATTGGAGTGGAGGCTTCCATATACAGCGGGAAGTAAACACCTGCTTCTCCCAGCCACCATGGCGGTCTGGGTGGGGACCCACCTGCGCCTATCCCCCCAATTAAAGGAATGTTCTCCCCTGGAAATATAACGGGACCTTCCTGGTCTCCCCCCCTTGACCTAGAACCTCTGTTAATCCTACAATAATTTTACTAACAGATTCTTCCTCTCCCTGCCCAGGGCTGCCTCATCACCAGGCCAGTAACGCACAATTCTTTAACCTCCCCCATTCCTAAACTGGTATTCTTCACCGCGTCCCTTGGCTGAAATACATTCTTCCTTGGGGAGCGTGGGCAGCTCAGGTGGCAGACTCTTGGGCAGACTCTTGGTGACAGCGCAGAGCCTGCTTGGGACTCTCGCTCTCCCTCTCTCTTCGCCTCTCCCCTGCACTCTCTCGCAAAATAAACATTAAGAATAAAATAAAATAAGATATTCTTCCTTACCTCCCAGTAATATAATTAGGGATGGCAGTAAAAATATTTGATTGAGCTACAATCAATCGAATAATTAGTAAGGCAGTATTGGTGAGTTCCCCGCCCCCCCAAAATACCATCTCCCCACGACCCATAATGGACTCTTCTGACCTACCTTGCCCCCTATATAATGGACTGTTCCTCTTTTCCTCCTGCCCCCCCCCCCCACGGAATCACCCCTTTCCCCAAACAGCCACAGGACACGGGCACAGTATCTCTTCCGGGCTCACCCCGAAGTAGTTCCGAGGTACGTAGCCCTCCTGGCCATGCAGCGCGGCCCACCACCAGTCTGTCTCCTCTGGCCCGTCCCGCCGCAGCACGGTGACGGACTCGCCCTCCCGGAAGGACAGCTCATCCCCGAACTCGGCGCTGTAGTCCCAGAGGGCGTAGACCACCCCGCTGTGCATCAGCCCCATGCTCTGCTCCACGTCTGAAACACAAAACAGCAGGGGTGGTGAGCGCTCGGTCGAGGGGGGTGGGGGGCAAGGGCACTCAGGGACACGAGACACGCCGCCCCAGCTGAGGGATGAGCCCCCTTGCAAAGCTGTGTATCCCTGCCTGGAGAAGGGCGCCTAAGCAGGACTCAGCTGCCAGGACCCGCAGTCTCAAACTCCGAGAACATCACATCGGGGTGCATCACACTGGGCGTCCAACCCCAAAGGAAGATCAGTGGTCCTCATCCCTCTTGGACATGGGTAAGTCCCTCCCAGAGGTACAATCGCCTGTGCACCATCCCCCTCCCCAACTTGAGTTCATGGTCTCTCTAGTCTCAACCCCTCCTTCCGACGACGGTACAGCCTTTTCCCTCCTCTCCCTTAAGTGGTCTCGACTCCCCCTTTCCGGGTGGCGCGTCCACAGTGCTGCCCCGTCCCCAAGAGACAGAGTCTCCAATTTTAGTATATGTGCTGCCGAAGCGAGCACATGAGAGAGACAGAGTCTCCAAAGAGGATGCCATAACTTCTCCAGATGGTACAGACCACCCGCCCCACCGCCTCGGATCACCTTAAGTGGTCAGCTGTCCGTCAAGAATTTAACCCCCTTTCCAGATGGTACAGTCCACCACGCTCCCTCTCTCCAGCAGCTCAGTCCACTAGGCTCCAGTCCCCCCCCCCCACCCCACCCCCGTGTGCTGTGGGATCTGTACTTCACCCTTGCAGAACTCTCCCAGGCAGAATGTACAAGCTTCACATCTCATAGGCTCCACCTACCTGTACAAAGGTGTAATGGCCCAATGACAGTGCACTCCCTGCCCCCTTCCTAGCTCATGATAAGCCCTGTGGCTGTGGCTGTCGTGTAGAGGCTCACCTCTCCAAAATATTATCCCATGTCCCTCTTCCCCCCACCCCGTCCTACAGCCTGCCTTACTCCGACTCTGTGATATCCCAACCCCCGCCCTATGTTGCAATTTGCCCACCCCAGGTGGGCCATTTGCCGGGGTGTGCAATACACATGATATTCACACCCCCATGCTATAGGCTCCCTGCTTCCTCCCATCAACTGATTAGATGATGCGGCCCCTCTTATGAGGGTAGTAGCTTCATGCTTCACTACAGGTGGAAGAGTCCCCAAGCCCCTCCCCAGAAGCCATGGCCTGCTCATCTGCCACCTGTGTGGCGCTGTATCTCCCACTGGCAGCCCAGCCCCCCTGCCCAGCCCTGTGACAGGTAGAAGGTATACTCGGAACGTCCAACTGCCCACGCCGGCATCCCTCGAGATGGGCCCCGTATGCTCACCCCACACCCCCAGCTTGCACCTGCCAGGGGGGAGGCCCAGCCCCCCCTCTCCGGGGGTCCATCCGCTGCCCTTCCTCTAGGATCCTCCCACTTGATGGGTGCAGCCCCCACGTCTTCTCTCCTGTGATTGGCTGTCTGCTTCCTCTCCCTCCCCGATGGCTAGCTGCTGCCTGGCCGCGGTCCCCACGACCCCCTTCCTCAACACAGAGGCGCCCCAGCGCTGCCTCGCACCTGCCAGGTAAGTGGCGCAATCAGCGTAACCCTCGCGGTAGGGGTCGCACTTCTCGATGGCCGTGGCGCCGTCACTGAGCGTGGTGGCGAAGATTGCTGCGCCGTGCTGCACCAGCGCCGTGCAGATGGCCGTGTCGTTGCAGGATGCAGCGCAGTGCAAAGGTGTCCTAGGCGGGGAGGCGTGCATGAGAGGCCGTGCGCGCCCTCCACCCCCACTCCGCAGCAGGTGCATTAACCCGCAGCACCGTCCGGGGTCCGGGCTCACCAGCCGTGGCTGTCAGGGGAGTTGACGTTGGCACCAGCGGCGATGAGGAAGTCCACGATGGGGTAGTTGGCGCCGCAGATGGCGTTGTGCAGGGCCGTGATGCCCTCCTCGTTGGGCTGGCTTGGATCGTTCATCTGCTTGGCCGGGGGACACAGACTCAGGCCCGAGGCGCCACCCCGCGCCCTCCAGCCTCCACCCTGCCTGCCCTGCACGCTGGCAGCGCTCACCTCCTTCACCGCCTGCTGCACCACGTCCAGCTCCCCGGTCAGCGCGGCGTCCAGCAGGAGCACAAGCGGGTTGAGGCGGGCGCGGCGGACCTTGCGCGGGGAGCCCGCCTTCCGCAGCACAGAGCGCATCTCCTGGGGGGCAGAGAGGGGGCCTTCAATGACTTGGGTGAGTTTGGTAATATACCCATTACTCAAAGGGGAAAACAGAGATTCAGGGACCTGACGGCAGTAGCTGCCCCAGGTCATCCAACTAGATAGAGGTGGGGGCTGGGATTGGAACACAGTCCAGAGAGCGGCGTGGGGGGAGGGTACCTCAGTTCTACAGCCTTTGGTTCCCTACAGTCGTCAAGGAATCTGGTGATTATGGAATCCTGAGACCTGAGAGGTAGCTGGGAGACCTTGAGTTGACGATTGTGGAAGTCAGATATATTTTTTTTAATGTTTATTACTTTTGAGAGAGAGAGAGAGAGAGAGAGAGCAGGGGAGGGGCAGAGAGAGAGGAAGACACAGAATCAGAAGCAGGCTCCAGGCTCTGAGCTGTCAGCACAGAGCCCAACTCAGGGCTCGAACCCACAGACTGTGAGATCCGGACCTGGGCAGAAGTTGGCTGTTTAACCGACTGAGCCACCCAGGCGCCCCGGGAGCCCGATATTCAACCCAGCCACCGTCTTTTTCTTTTATAAAGCGTAGATGCTGTGAAACACACAGGGCAAAAGGTTGCCCGATGTTAATTCCAGATGTTCAGAATTAGAGTATTTATTCCTTGTGCTTTCTTATTTTTTGATGTTCAAGCATCCTCCTACAAGATTCATTTATTCTGAGCCCATAGCGTTTGTGATTCTGGTCTTTGATGTCAACGATTCCAAGATCCTGGAATCTGGAGATCCCAAGAGCCACTGATTTCCAAACTTCTCTGACATTCAGCTATGTCCAATTCCCAATATGTCGTGAATCCAGGAATGCTAAGCCGTGCCATTTCCAATTGCTGAAGACCCAGGATGTCACGTTCCCAAGATTCTATGATTGAGGACTTTAATATTTTATGGTTAGAATTTTTTCCAAAACTTTGGAAGGAGATACTCAAAGTGTTAATCATGGTTCTGTCTGCTGTGATTTTGGCCTCTATTCCTTCATCTATCTCCTCCTAGTTACTATGGTGTTTGTATATTCTTTTCTAGTGGGAAATGTTCATTAAAAAATACAATTCTGGGGGCGCCTGGGTGGCTCAGCCGGTTGAGCTTCCGACTTTGGCTTAGGTCATGATCTGACAATTCGTGGGTTCAAGCCCCACGTCAGGCTCTGTGCTGACAGCTAGCTCAGAGCCTGGAGCCTGTTTCAGATTCTGTGTCTCCCTTTCTCTGACCTTCCCCTGCTCACACTCTCGCTCTCTCAGAAACAAATAAAACATTACAAAAATTAAAATAAATAAATAATAAAATAAAATTCTGGGGGGTGCGTGGGTGGCTCAGTTGGTTAACTGTCCGACTTCGGCTCAGGTCATGATCTCACGGTTTGTGGGTTTGAGCCCCACATCGGGCTCTGTACTGACAGCTCAGAGCCTGGAGCCTATTTCCAATTCTGTGTCTCCCTCTCTCTCTGACCCTCCCCTGCTAATGCTGTCTCTCTCGCTCTCTCTCAGAAATAAATAAAAACATTAAAAAAACAAAAAAGAAACTTCAAAATATACTTTTAAAAAATTTTAAAAATATGTAATTCTGGAGGCACCTGCCTGGCCCAGTCTGTAAACCATGCAACTCTTGATCTCGGGTTTGTGAGTTTGAGCCCCATGTTGGGTGTAGAGATTACTTAAAAAAATAAAATCTTAGGGGCGTCTGGGTGGCGTAGTCGGTTAAGCATCCGACTTTCGCTCAGGTCATGATCTCTCGGTTCGTGGGTTCCAGCCCCGCATCGGGCTCTATGCTGACTGCCAGCTCAGAGCCTGGAGCCTGTTTCAGTCTGTGACTCCCTCTCTCTCTGACCCTCCCCTGCTCACGCTGTCTCTCTCTCTCTCCTAGAAATAAATAAAACATTAAAAAAAAAATTTAAAAAAATAAAATAAAATAAAACCTTAAAGGGTGCTTGGGTGGCTCAGTCAGTTAAGTGTCTGACTGCAGCTCAGATCATGATGTCATAGTTCGTGAGTTCGAGCCCTTCATTGGGCTCTGTGCTGACAGTGCAAAGCCTGGCGCCTGCTTTGGATTCTGTCCCTCTCTCTCTGCCCCTCCCCCACTCACGCTCTGTCTCTTGTCTCTCAAAAACAAAACATTTTAAGAATTAAAAAAATAAAATCTTGGGGTGTCTGGGTGGCTCAGATGGTTGAATATCTGACTCTTGATTTCAGCTGGGGTCATAATCCTGGAGTTGTGGGTTCGAATCCTGCATCAGGCTCTGGAGTGGGCACGGAGCCTGCTTGAGATTTTCTCTCTGTCTCCGTCTCTCCTTCAGCCCCTCTCCCATCCCCTCTGTAAAGTAAAATAAAATAAAATAAAATAAAATAAAATAAAATAAAATAAAATAAAATAAAATAAGGACACCTGGGTGGCTCAGTCGGTTAAGCACACGACTTTGGCTCAGGTCATGATCTTGCAGTTTGTGAGTTCGAGCCCCGCATTGGGCTCTGTGCTGACAGCTCAGAGCCTGGAGCCTGCTTCGGATTCTATTTTTCCCTCTTTCCCTCTCTCTCTCTCTCTCTCTGTCCCTTCCCCACTCATGCTCTGTGTCTCTCTCTCAAAAACAAACGTTAAAAAAATTTTTAATGAAAAATAAAATAATAAAATCTTATAAAAATAGAATTCTACATTACAACATATTAGTGCGCTTATCTGTGATTTTCTGGCTCAAATGATAACCAGGGTCTGTGTTACTGGCTTTTAAATTCTAAGATCCTGTTCTTCGAACCTTTAGCGCCCAAGGGTTCTGAAATGTCACAGTTCTGAGATTGCTAACAGGATGTAATTCTCAAATCTTGTGAGTTTTCAAGTTTCTCTGTGGCCAAGACTTTGTGATTCTATAACGGGGCTACTTCAAAACATTGCCGTTCTTCCCTTCTGGATTTCAAGATCCTGAATCTTGGCTCCACCCTCAGGAGAGCGTGGGAATAGGCATTTTGGGGTGTCTCCCTAGTCCCTGCTTCTTCTCTGGAAATCATTCCCCTCCCTGTCCGTCCACACTGAGAGAACAAGACTATTCCCTGTGCTTACACTCACCTGCCCCAAGCCAAGATGCAGGGGCTGGACCAAGTTCAGCAGGCGACCCACCCTGGCCAAATGCTAACTATAGTGGCTAACAGTTAAGTGCCAGGCACTGTTCTGAGCTCTGTGTCCAAATATTTAATCCTCACAGCAGCCCTGGGGGTGTTCTCCTCCCCATTTTACAGATGAAGAAACCGAGGCCCAGAGAGGCTAGGTACTTAGCCTTGCTAAGAGAGGCTAAACTTGAGCCCAAGGTTGCACAGCTGGGCTTTGAACCCAGGCAGCCTCGCTCCGCGGCTGGCGCACTCGATCACAACACCCACAGCTTCAGAGCACAGAGACGTGCTCTTGCAGTTTTGAACGAAAGCAGCTCTGAGTAGCGTCTGGGAACACCGTGGACTTGAACTCAGTGGTCATTTTGGGTCATGGCTGGGGGGGGCGGTGTGGGGCATTTCTAGCCACGGCACAGGCTTGCTGAGGTCGGAGAGGAGACAGCGGGTCCCCAGAGAAGGCAGACATGAGTGACTATGCAGCAACCGGGGAGACAAATGGGGATTGCCTTGAGTTAGGAGCCTTTATCCCGGGATAAATCCACTGTTGTGCCAAGATGCACTCATTTCCAGCTTGTAAGACTCCAAGATTCCCGAAGGGATGCCCTTGGGGGCAAGTTAACGGAGAGGAGCAGAGAAAGTCTCTGTGTGGCCAAGACTTCCAAATGCCTCCCTCTATACATCCTCCCTGTCTTCAGAACACAGGCACGCCTAGATTAAAAACTACATTTCCCAGCCTCCCTTGCACCGGGCTCCTGGCCAGTTAGGCAGGTGTGCCGTGTGCAATATCCAGGTTCTGTCCCAAAAGCGAAAGGGCACTTGCATGTGCTAATATATCCCCGTTTCCTCTTGTATTACTTACCATGCTCTGTAGCTGGTCCGGTGCGCTGATCTGGGGCAGGGCCGGGGGTGGGGCCGGAGCTGGTGGGGCCGGAGCCGGGGGCCCTGCCCTGGCCTCGGATCCCTCAGTGATGGGGGACAGCTCGGAATCAGGCCCCCCGGGCCCCCCGGGCCCCCCGTGACGATGGAAGAGGCGGCTGATGATCTGCTGGTATTGCTTCTTGTGGGTGGGGGGCAGGGCTACAGCTGGGCTCTGCTCCATGGAGCCCCTGCGTTTGAGGGGCCGTGGTATCTCGGCCAGCACCCGGGCCACCTCCTCTAGCTCGGGCACCGACTGTGCCTCGGGTGGCAGTGCGGGCTGCAGCCTCGTGGGGCTGAGGGGCCGCGTTACGGCGCCTTCATCTGCATCGCCAGCCTCTAGCACCGGAGTCAGCAGCCCCTCCAGTTCTGGCTCCGGCTCCAGCTCCAGGGGAGGCTTGGGGGAGCCTAGAAGGACCAAGAAGCCCATCAGAGGACGGATCTCTGGGAGAACCCCCGGACTCCCTCCCCACAACCTCCGGGACCTGCATCCAGCATCTGATTTGCTGTGTGACCTCCGGGCAGTTCCTTGCCGTCTCTGGGCTGCTTTCCATGAGCTGTGGATGCTATCCAATCGTGACGTCTCCCATTTATCAAGTGTTTAGCATGTGCCTGGTGCCTTCCGCGCCTGTCTTACTGAATTCTCACCTCTACTCTGTGAGGTAGGTATTACTATCGTCTCCTCATTACCGAAAGAGAGTTGAGCCTCCGAGAGAGCAAGTCAGCTGCCCAAAGCCACATGCTTGGGATTTGAACTCAGTGCTATCCGACTTCTGAATTGTGCGCCCCTATACCATCGTGATAGATTTGACTTTCAAAGATTCTAAGAGCTTCCTCGCCTCCCTTCTCAGGCAGAATACTGAATCCTGGCGCTGAATCCTTGGTCTCATCCCTCTCTAGCAGAGCTTCTAGATCAGGCAGAAATAGCAATGATCCCCTACACACGTTATTCCGGCAAATGCCCATCACAGCCTACGAGGTAGAGGCTATTAATCTCTCTTCACAGATGACAAAACAGAAGTTCGGCTAGGTTAGCTGATTTATCCTGAGTCATAGAGCAAGTCCGTGGTGGAGAGGGGCTCTCAACCCATTTGGCTTTAACTCTAGGCTCTGGGCTAATCTCATACACACACATGCAGATATTAATAATGATTCTAATATAATAGCTATTGAGAACTTCCTATACGCCAGGCCCTATTTCAATGACTTTGTACGGATTAAATAATCTAATGCCATATCTCAGTGAGATGGGCTCTGTCCCCTTTCACACTTAAGGAAATTGAGGCCCAGAGAGGTTAAGCGACTCGCCCGAGGTCACACAGCACAGAGTCAGGCCGTCGGATCCCAGGGTCCCCGCTTAACCACTGTGCTATCCCTAGCTCCCGAGCAAATTCGCAAGCTCCTGTCAGCCTAGCTCTCTGTAGGGACAGTGTCTGGAAACAGGTGTTTGGCTGCGATGTCTCTTCCGGCCACGTGTCCTCCCTGTAACCAGCCCTCTGGGGCCCCCCACGGCTGACTCACCTTCGCTCACAGGGGCCCAAGTCTGTTGGGGAGGTTGGGGGGCTGGGGCGGGGGGCTGAGGCTGGGGCTGTGGTTGGGGCTGGGGCTGGGGCTGGGGGGGCGGCTGGGGCGGTAGCTTGGGTGGGGGTGCTCGGGGGAAGACGGAGGAGCCAGGGAGCACGGCCCTGCTGGCCCCATGCTCCCAAAAGGCATTCTGCAGTTTGAAGATCATGCTGAGGGGGATGGGGCGCTGGCGCGGGGAACCGCGGGGCTGCGGGCCGGAGGGAGGCATGGGGATGCGGCTGACGGGCTGCCAGCTGCGGGGCAAAGTGCCTGACGGCCCCGCGGAGCCCAGGGACCGGCGGTAGCTGCCCACATCGGAACGCCGGTCGTTGGCCAGAGGGGAGACCTTGTAGTTGCGGGGCAGAGTGGCGCTGGTGAGGTTGTCCTGGGGGAGAAAGGGGCAAGGCGGAAAGAAGGGGCTCAGGTGGGAGGAAGTGAGGGATAAAGAACCACAGAGGAGAGCGAAGGGGGAGGGAGAGAAGGGCAGAAGGGAGAGAAGGGGAGGGAAGCCAGAGGGAATGAGGGGAAGAGGGTCAGGCAGAGGGAGAGAAACCCGGGATGAAGAAGGCAGAGCCTCAGGAGGCCTGGGGTTGCCCCCGCGAGTGGGAGCTGGGCCTAACCTCACTCGCGGCCCCTGCCCAGCACCCCCTCACCTTGCTGGTGGCCCCCAGCCCGTCCAAGCTGCTTTCTCTCCAGGGTAACAGCTGCAGGCCTGGCGAAGCAGGCCGCGAGAAGACGTCCAGACCTGCAAGGCGGGACTCATGAGGGTCTGGGCGACACCTGTCCGGCTCCCCCCAGCTCCTCTGGCCTCCCACCACTCACGTTCATAGCTCGCTGTCTGCGAAGACTTCTTCTCGTATGCCACGTCCAGGTCGGACTCATTCCAGGCTTTGGGGGTCCGCCGGCGCAGCGTTAAGTCGTCTGGGGAGAAGTTGCGAGTGGGGATATAGCGGGAGGCTGGTCCCAGGCCCGCCTCCCTCCCATCCCCCAGGTAGGGCCCCTGGTTCACCTTGAGCGCGCAGAGGCGGGGCGAAAGCGCTGCCGCCCGCGCCCAGCAGGGGGCTCCCAAAAGCGCCGGGCGCGTCGTAGGCTGAGGTCTGGGGGCGTGGCGAGGGCCCGCGCTCCGGGAAGAAGGCCTGGGACCCCTCGACCAGGGGGCTGCCACGCGGGGAGCCGGTGCGGCCCAGGAAGTCGAAGGTCGTGGGGGGACCCTGCTGGCGGAGCGGGCCCGATCCGGGCCGCGGGGAGGGCGCACGGCCGAGGGGGCTGCCGGCGCCGTCGAAGGCGCGGGGCCGTGGCGAGGGCGCGCGCTCCAGGCTGCCGTAGGCATCTGGCTGCAGGTAGAGCGGGGTGCGCGGTGACGAGGGCCGGCCTTTAGGGGACAGCGGGCTGTAGGGAAGCAAAGCCGGGGCGCTCTCGGAACGTCCGAAAGAGGAGGTGTCCGCGCCGTCGGTGGCCGTCTTCCGGGGAGACCCACGGCTGCTAAAGTGCTCGGGGACCGGGCTGGAGCTGTACCGGGACAGCTGTGGGGAGGCCTGGACATTGAGGGGGTCAAAGGAGACATTAGTAGACGGGTTAGTAGAAGATCAAAAGCGGTCATCGCAAATTAATGCGGGGGAGTTAGACCGGCGCTGGTGATTCAGGCACAGGGAGCCCTGGTGAGCGGTTCTGGTGAGACGGCCCTGGAATCAGGACGGAGGCTGGCGCGGACTTAGCAAAAGGCCCCGTTCTCCCGAGGGTCTTGTCACATGTCTTTTTCTACTGGTCCCCGCCTTCAGGTGCCCTTAAATGGCCCACGGCCTCTATAATCCTATGGGACAGAACTCCGGGCGGAAAGAAGCTGGCTTTGGGGGTCAAGGTGGGGACCTAGGCGAGAAGGCTCACCCTAGAGGGGGCTCCCGCCTGTGAGCCCGGAGGCGTCGGCGAGTCTGACCACAGCGACTCCAACTGTTTGGTCAGTTCATCCACCTTGGCCGCCGCCGTGTCCAGCTCCATCTGTTTGAGGTCCATGTGTCTCATAGCCAAAGCTGGGCGGAAGGGAAGAGCGGTAAGGGCCCGGGTCCCGCAGGTGGGGCCCCGCCTCCACCCTTAAGGGCCCCCGTTGGGGTAAGCCCCGCCCCCTACCCCAGCTCACACTGGAAGTTCAGGTCCAGAAGGTCCCTGGTGCTCTGGAATGCCTCGCTGTCCATGGTGCCGGCGGAAGCGGGGCGCCTGCAGGGGAGAGGGGAGGGAGCCTTCTCAGATCCAGCCCCGCAGGGCCCCAGGGGTCCTTGAGGCGCGGATGGCACCTTTACCCTCCTAATTTTTTCCACTGGAAGCGCCATGCCCTTCCATGTCCCTCGCTGGGAAACGCCAACTCCTTCAAATCCTCCTGGAAGGCCCCGTACTGTTCACTCTCTTTCCATAGCTCCTTGTCCATTTCTCTCTCTCGGTCCAAATAAGACTTGAATCACCCCTTCACCAACTACTCACTGATCGCCTACTGTGAAAGTTGCTTGAGGGCATAATGAAATAAAATAACTATTTATCCAGGGGCCACCGCCTCGGGGAACTGAGCCAAGTGCTTTGCTCCCAATACCTCATCTGAAGGTCAAAATCGCAGTAGTAGGCAGGAAAGTGGGGCTCCGAAACATGTGTTCACGATCACGCGGCAGTGCTAGGTTTCACACCTGGATCTGACCTGTGAGTCTGGGTCCTCTCGACCAGACAGCAAGAGTCCCCCCCAGGGCAGGGACCCACTCAGCTTCCTCTCCCCAGAGTGGACCTTGCTCACAGGGACCCAGTGTTAGCAGGAAGACAGGGAGGTGGCTAGGGGCTGCTGGGCTGCTGTGGTCACTGGCTCAGTGGGGGAGGCGCCAGGCTGCAAGGAACCGGTCAAGCCAGCACCATCCGCATCCCCACGGCAGCCACCACGCCAGCAGCCACCACGCCTGCAGCCACCACGCCTCGAGAGCTTTGCCACCTCCCCAGTCTGCACCAGCCCCTTAGCTTTGAAGGTGCAGGCGTGGGAAGGCCGACAGGCTGGGGCATGCTGATTCTGGCCTCTGTCTGGGAAGCCTCGGAACAGAACCTGTTGGGGCTGGTGGTTCATTTGGGTGTGCTGGGAGCACGCGACCTTGAGCAACAAGTCCCCTCCACTCCCTGGGCCTTAGTTTTCCCAACAGTGAAGGGAGGAGGCAAACCAGCTATTCTCAGAGGCCCCTTCAATCTCTCAGAGGCCTAGATTCTGAGATCGTAAGGACCTTGCAATTGCAATTAAAGCTCTACAGGGCCTGAAACTCTCATCTCGACGGTCTACTGTCCAAAAGTTCGGAGTCCAAGATTCTATCTTTGGAACGTTCTGGAATTCTCCAGTTTTGGGAGCCTAGATTTCTTCACCTTCCTGCACTGGGTTCTCTCTCTCTCCCGAGATTCCACTGTCCTAAAAGTCTAGCTGAATGCAGGGTAGAGTGCAATGGGTAAGATCACAGGTAAGAAGCCAGACTTCCGGGCTTCAAACCTGGGCACTCCTGTCTGACCCTGACAAGAGTGCCTCTTGATCTGTAGAATGAAGATATAGATCAGTCCACTTTAGAAGACTATTGTGAGGATCCAAGCAGCCAGAAAGCGCAGGAGGAATAAGGCTCTGAGAATTCGGGCCTCAGAAAGTAGAGACTACAGGAATCAGAATTCAGGGCTTTGAGACACTCAGACACACATGAAACCCTCTGTGTCTGTTAAAATATAAAAACGGACAACTCTGTACGGCCTCCAGTGCCAGCATTCTGGCCGTGAGATGTTCTTCTGGAGGATTTTAGGCTTCCCAAATTTCCAGGGCTCTCAGATCCCACGCTTGACAGCCTGACTCTAAGGAAATGCCAAGGTTGGGCGTGGGGCCCTCCCAAGGGCTGGTGCGGGAGGAAGGGTTGTCGGGGCCGCCAGGGGGCGCTCCGGCTGAAGGCCCGAACCTGGAGGGGCCAGCGGACCGGGTGTGAGCTCAGCCTCCGGGAATGCGCTGCAGGCCCGGGCAGGTGCCTTACTAACTGCGACAGGCGAGGCGAGCGGGGGGAGGGGGGGAGCGGGCGGGGCGCGAGGGCAGTACAGGCCGTGCCTCTGCTCCCAGGCCCCTGCCCTGCACTTCCAGCTCCCCCCCAACGGTGGACTGCAGTCCACCCTTGGGGACCCTCTGACCCCAATTCCCACTCCTCCCCTCGCCTTCCACCCCGAACTCTCGTTCCCCCCAAACTCTCGTTCCCCCATACTCCCACGCGGCCAGACCAAGTTCTTCGGGGTTAAGAATCCCGGGGCGGCTTCCTGGAGGAATCATCCTCAGTGGGAACCGAGTCAGAGCTCCGGGCTAGGTTGGGAATACCCTGGTTGGAATCCTACGTTTCGGTCCGGACTGACTGACGCTGGGAGAGCCCCCACCCTCTCTAGGACTTGGTGTTCCCCTAAGTCTCTACCCTGGGCTAGTTATATAGCTTCTCTGTGCCTCAGTTGCCTCGTGTGTATAATGGGAGAATTAATACCTTCACCTCAAAAGGGTGTGAGGTTTGAGTGACATAATTTAGGTACACTGTTTAGAACAACGCAGGGCACAAAATAAAGTTCACAGGTACAGGATTCTTAATTACGGACCTTTCTTGGCTCTTCATTAAGATAACATAGGATCTGACACACAGTGAGGGCTCAAGACCCAGAGTAATCTCCCCCCTACCCCCACCCCTCCCCAAGAGAGTCCGGTCTGCTCTTTCTGAGATTCTAAAAGCCATGAGTTTTGAGCTCTGGAGTCTCGATTTCCTAACCCCTACATTCTCTCTGGGCATTAGTGACTTCTGGCCAGTGATCATCCCCAATAATCTAGGCAGAGGGGCATGGGGAGTCCTAGAAGATTCCAGAGAGAAGGGGGCAAAAGCCCAAGGTGTGGGTTGTGCCTGCTCTCTGGCCTTAGTTTCCCCATGGAGTGGGGAGAAGTCATTCCCTGGGGTGGAGTCCGTAAACCACCGCTGGGCAGCTGCCCGAGTCGTCTGTAGACAATGGGAACCATCCCATCGACCTACCAGCGACCTATCAGCGCTGAGCCTGGCTCTCCGTGAGCTCTGTCTTGGCAGCCACGGTTATTATTTTTAATTTCATCCCAGGCTATCACCAAATGCCCTTCAAGCCCAGACAGTAGGGAGTTCTTCCCTCTCTCATCAGAACCCCCTTCCTCCCCCACCCCCTTGTTTAATCCCTTCACATGACGCACAGGGGTGGAGAGAAGGGGGGAGACAGAGGGAGGTGCCGGTCCATGCCCTCCCCCAGCTTCAAGGACAGACACACACCTCCAGAATTAGCCTCTATCCCTCGCTTATCTCCCACACAACCTCAGGTCAGACAGATGGGGGTGGGAGGTGACATTTCTCACCTCAGGGTCAGGGCGAGGAGCCCTAGGAGGGAGAAGGTTAGTCCGAAAATCTGGTGGGAGTGGATGGAATCCCGTCTCCCAGACAGGCTGCAGAAGGGGGAGGAAGCCAAACTCTAATCAACTCTTGTTATCTGAGACAGCTGCGGAAGGAAGGGAACGCCAAACTCTACTCAACTCTGCTGCCTGTGTGGCACTTAGCCTCAGTTTACCCCCTGTCCTCTCTGCGCAATGACTGTGTAGTGCCCAGCCACACAAGCCTCCCAGAATCCAATCCTACCTTCTGGAATTCGGCCCTGAGTTCCAGAAGCCCCTCTGCAAGCCCCAAGCGTTTCCCACCTCCGTGCGGGTAATGGGAGGATCCCGCTCCCACCAGGGGGCGCCCTGGGGTGGCGGTCCCTCCCCTGGTTAGGCAGGTCCGACACCCGGGTTAATGATATGTTGGCGATCTCGCAGCCCCACGGAGGTTGGAGAGTTGCCCCGGTTCCCCCTCCTCGCCCCCACCCCAGGGCCAGAAAGTATAGGGAGCGGCGGAATCTAGCCTCCAGGGGGACCTCCGGGGCTTGTCCTGTCACATTCCAGGGACCCGAGTTCCACTATCCCCATCCCACTCCTAATTCGGCCTCGAGACCTAGAGGCTCGGTCGAGAAGGCGGCTGGCGGGCGGCGGGGATGGCCGCCCATTCCAGAGCCCCAGGAGTCCGAGTCTTGTCATTTCTGCCCAAGCCGCAGGGATCTCATACTCCAATTCTACTCAAAGACTCAGGCTTCCGAGAGCGCCCAACTGGTGGGACTCAGGAGTCCCAGCTCCAGCGTCTCCCCGGGGCCACGGCGTCCGAGCCCTCCATCCTGAGAACTCAGGCATCAGAGTCCCCTTTCCTTCTGCCCAGCGAATAGGAGTTCTTTCCTTCGAAGGACCCTGGCATCTGAGAACGTCCAAACCCGCCCTGGGAATCGGTGTCCGAGTCCCCTCCCAGTCCTCCCAGGGACGCGGTGTCGGGCTCCCCCTGAGCCGCTGGACCCCCGAGGGGTGGGGTGGAACTCACGGATCCGGGGCAGATCCTGGCACCGGGGGACTTCCTCCGGCTCCGGCTCCGGCTGCGGGGAGCGGAGGACGGGGCGGGGCAGGCTCCGGGAACAGGTTAGACGACGTGACTCCGGCTGGAGGGAGGCGGGTCCCGGAGAGGAGAGGGAGTAGGGGTCGCCTCGAGCACCTTGGGACTTGTAGTTCTCGAGACGTTCCCATTGGGAATCACCCAAAGTCCATTTCACAGACAGGAAGGGCGAGGTCCAGAAGCCGAGGGCTATCTAGAGTAGCTATAAACATCCAGATTTTAATCTCGCCGGAGCTGCAGGAGGCAGACTCCTGAGTCCCTATCCCACCCCTCCAGGCTTAGTTTCCCCCTCCTAGAAAGATTTGGAGGCCACTGAAGGGGTAGAAGGTTAGAGGTTGGGGGAGACTCACATGCCCCGCCTCTAAGGCGAGAAGACAGCTTCGCTAAATCAGTATCACCTCGAGTCTCTGAATCCCAATCTCCCCGTCGGTAAAAAGGGTGGGTTGGATGCTTATACAATTTCCCAGCAAGAGTCTAACGTCGTAGGCTGGGACTACAATCCCCAGCAGCTTCCGAGACGGACATCTGGAGTCTCTGCTCCTTGCGCCCTCTGGGAATTGTAGTTCAGAACCCGCAGTCCCGGAGTCTCGCCCACGCCGGGGAAACTGCCTGGTGATCCTGGGCTGAGGGAACACACATCCCCTTCTCCTGACCCTCCCTCCGCTCTCAGAAGCCGCTCACACCCTGAGAAGGGAGGACGCCCCAATTCTGGAATGGGATCCGAAATCACAGCAGAGGGGGCGGGGAGTGGCGCTGACACACTGGCCAGGAATGCAGTCGGGTCACCCTGTCTAGCCGCCGTCCTGCGGCTCCGCCCGCCGCCCCAAGCGGTGCGGTCCCTGTGAAAAGGGGCGTGGACGCGACCCCCAAATCCGCGGCCACGTGCTGCTGTTTACACGCGTCCTCCGGCAGAGAAAGGGCGCTGCTCAAGCCTTCTACTCCCTCTCAGTTCCTCAAAGCCTTCGGGAATGTCCCCACGCACTAGACTACATTCCCGGGGGCATCTATGTGTCTCATTTGATCCATAAACCCCGCTCCTTAGTCCGCACCTCCCGACGCGTGTTTAGCTCCGGAGACTGGAGGCCCCGCCCCGGAGCCTACAGGCTCCTCCCTCCAGGTTTCCCGCGCCCCAGGAGTCCAGAAGCCCCGCCCCTGGCTGGTACTTCACGCCCTCCGGAGGAATTTCACCGTTTCTCCATTTTCCCACCTGTCCCACTCAAGTTCCGAGTTTCCCAGGCATCTGGGCCTCCTAAGGAAGGATTGTAACACTGAAAGCACAGCCCTGCCATCCTAGACTCTTACCTGTCTCTTTAAGAATCTCAGACCAAAGGAGCTTCCTGTCTCTTTAAGAGTTAGGAGCTACCAATGTGGCTGCCCCTTTAAGGCGACGTTGGAGCAATTGATGTCCGAGACACTGCGGGGGGGATAACCGAGACCTGATGAGGCGCTAACTCCCGCCAAGCAGCCAATCCGCTACTTTCGGGGGCAGATTTTCGGGAAAAGACGTCTTCCTCGGTCATCTGCTCTGCACAAGTGGAAGTTTCCCCCCAGTTCTGCTCGCAGAGAGAGCGTACTGCGAGCGACACCCCCGCGCCCCCGCGCCCCATGGGCGCTCCCGGACGAGGCCCCGCCCCCCTGGTTCCACGTGGTCGTCCACGGGGCTCCGGTGGCTCTGGCGGCTAGGTAGGAGGAGGCACGGGTCCCGGGATGGCGGGGACCCCTAACGGCGGTGAGTTGCATGAGGGGCGGGGGGCGACGGGCTGCAGAGAGTTAGCTGCCGGGAGGAGAAAGGGGCGCCTGGGAGCGCTCGGGAGGAAAAAGGCACATCCTCGAGACAGGACCTGTGGAGAGTGTATCTCCCGCGAGGAAGGGACTTCAGACCGAGGGAGGCGGAAACTACCGGTGGAGGGAAGGACGCCCCCAGGGATTGGATCGGTGGAGACAGGGGTGCCTCTGGGGAACAGACAGGAGAGAAGAGGCGGCGTGAGGGGTTGAGGCGCTCAAAAGGCTGGGATCAGTGGGCCCCGTAGGCGCCCTGGAGAGTTGGGTCCGCGGGAAGGGTCAGCTGACCCCCGTTTCCCCTTCTGCAGGTGCTGCTCAGTTCACTTGCCCCCCCAACTTTACCGCGACGTCCCCAACCTCAGAGCCCACTCGTTTCTCTTTGGAGGTATTAACAGACCCAGATACGGAAGTGTGGCTTATCCAGGCACCTGTGGACTTCGCCCCAGACTGGTGAGTGGTCCCAGGTCCCACCTCCTGGGAATACTGTCCATCCCAGTGGCTGAACTTGGGGGAAGTTTAGAGGGGCTCTTGGGCACCCAGAAAGGCGGTTTTCAGCGCCTTGTCTCCGTTTCACCAGAAGAACCTGATGACGCTTCTGCCTTCCCCTTTCTCCTTTCAGCCTCAATGGGCGGCTAGTGCCTCTCTCTGGCTCCCAGATCGTGAAGGGCAAGTTGGCAGGCAAGCGGCACCGCTACCGGGTCCTCAGAAGCAACAGTGCCCAGGCTGGAGGAGCAATCCTGCTCGCCCCCTCCGTGGCGGCAGGAGGGGGGCTCGCCTGTGCCCCAGCCCCCCAGGGCAGCTTAAGGATCTTTGAGGGCTCCCAAGAACCCCCATCAGGGACCCTGCTGCAGCCTATTCCAACAAGCCCCCCGCCGCAGATCCCCCCTGACCTGAGGCCCCGGTTCTGTGCCTTTGGAGGCAGCCTACCAGTAACAGGGCCTGGGTCAGCCTTGGCCCTGAAGTCACCCGCCTCAAAGAAGAGGAAGAAGAAGAGGCAGACACCAGAGGCCCCAGGTCCCCAGGACGCAGTGAATGGGCTCGGGGCCCCGGCGGTGGACACAGCTTTGGGGTCCCCGGATGTGGCGAAGAGGAAGAAAAAGCAGAAGCCGCAAGAACTAGAGGCGATGGAGCCCACGGCTGAGCCGCTGGAACCTCTGGGAGCGCTGTTCCCATCGCCCACCGCCAGGAAGAGGAAAAAGAAGCCCAGAGAGGCAGACACGGCCGAACCGGAACCGGAGCAGCAGCTGCCGGAGCCAGGAGACAACACGCTGGAGCTGGAACTCACAGTCAGCACGGAGCCTCTGGAAGAGACAGTCCTGTCTCCCCCCGGGAAGAGGAAGAGGCAGAAGGGGACAGAAGGGAGGGAGCCAGGGGAAAGGATGCTGGTTGAGTCTCAGTTCGAGGCGGAGCCCCAGGAAGAAGCCGCCTCGCTGCCGTCCTCCAAGAAGAAAAGAAAGGAAAAGGGGCCCAAAGTCGTGATGGAGCCGGGGACTGATGAGGCTCTGGAGCTCCCTGGGGAAAAGACGGAGCCTGAACGACCACACGAAGTGGAGCTTGAGGCTGAGGCAGCTCTAGCACCCGCCAGGAAGAGGAAGAAGAAAGAAAAATGGCAACACGTGACTGTGGAGCCGGGGGCAGAGGTGGTGGAGCCTGAGTTGCCCGGTGACCTGGAGCCTCAGGAGGCTCTAGTATCCACCAAGAAGAAAGAACGGGGGCTCCGAGCAATGGAGCCGAGGACCGAGATAATGGACCCACAGGGTGAGGTGACGGAGCCCGAGCTGCCGGAAGGGGGTGCGCCTGAGGCAGGGGCAGATCTAGCATCCACCAAGAAGAAGAAGAAGAAACGGGGTGGGCAAAGTGGGGCGCCAGAGACGGCGCCCTGGGAGGAGACGCCAGGGCTGCCGCCGAGCCTGGAGTCTGAGGAGGTGGCTCCCACAGGCCGGGAGAAGAAGCCAAAGAAGCCGCGGCCGGGTCCTGTGTAGCCGCCTCCGGGGAAACTGGTGACTGTGGTCAAGAAAAGCTGGAAGGGTGCCCGGGGGGCGGGGGGCTCAAGTCGATTAGCGTCCGACTCTTGACTTTGGCTCAGGTCGTGATCTCACGTTTCCTGAGCTCAAGCCCCGCATCAGGCAGCACACCGACAGTGCAGAGGCTGCTTGGGAATTCTCCGTCTACCTCTCTCTCTGCCCCTACCCTGCTTGCCCTCCCTCAAAATAAGTAGATAAACTTGAAAGAAAGAAAGAAAGAAAGAAGAAGCAAAGCTGGAGGCAGCCGCCTGGGCCAGCCAAGAGCGGGAGCAGAGAACCCCTTCCTGGTGACGGCGCCGGCGCACCAGCAACAGCCTGGGCCTGGAAAATGCTTTATTGGTACAACGAGGGCCTCCGTGACAGCTGGGGTCATCGGGGCACTTTCAAGAAGGGCTCGTGTAGGACATCAAACAGCCTCCGGGCCTGCGCGAGAGCAAGAAAGAGACGAGGAACCGGTCATTAAATGAGCCATTTGTTTGCTACACCCGGAGTGGGCTTTGGTTCTTGGTTTCAGCTCGGAGGGGACTCTGCGGGCTGGGAGAGAAACCTCCCGATCTTGATTCTGTTCCAGGCTGTCTATGTGAGTTAGGGCTGGTCCCCAACCCTCTCTGGGCCTCGGTTTTCCCCATCTGTAGGAGAAGCACTGTGGGCCCTTCCAAAACCTTAGAACTTTGGGATCTGAGGTCCCATCTCTGGGCCACTCCCTCCTGTCCCCGACCCCGTGAGCCCACGCCCACAGTTCTTACCTTTTGGGGCCCCAGGCCCGGGCACAAAGCCAGGTCTTCCCGTGACGCGGCTATGAGCTGTTCCAGAGACTGAGGAAGGTGGAAGGCAAGGGTCAGAGGTGGGGAGCACAAAACTAGCCTGCCCCAGCTAGTCGGGGGTCTAAGGCCTCCCTGGAAGGAGGTGAGGTCCTGTCCGACGGCAGGAAGGATGGGGGGAGGGGCAGGGAGGTAGAAGGAAATAGGTGTGGGGGCGGGACGCTCCTTGAAAACGCAAGGGGGCAAAAATCAAAATGCCATCGGGACAGGGAATCATTCCTTACCCCAAAAGTAGTTAGGAGGGTCTGGCTGTCGGTTTTATTGACTGACTTCACGGTGGTCAGGCATTCGGTCACCTGGGAGGGGAGGAGGCAGAAGTGTGCCCGGAGAAGAAATGAGAGCAATACTGAGCGCGGGGTCACCACTGTGCCCCCAGACTGCACCCCCTTTTTATTGGCCGATTAACAGTTCATCTCGGAGTGCTCCCCAACTAGCTGAGAGGGCTCTGGTCACATCGTGAGAAGACAGATGCTGTGTCTCGAGTTGGTTCTGCCCGGGGGGAGGTCACAGGCTCTGGACTGAGATCTGCGTTCAAAGCCAGGCCCCGCTGCTTACTCCCCGTGAGGCCTGGGCAAGGGAATGGACCTCTCTGGGCTTTCTTTTCAGGCAGATTCCTAATAGGGCCTGCCTTGGGGGTGGCGCTGGACACCCTCCATTACTCAGGCGCGGGAGCTCGGGTTAAATGCGACATTTGGTAAACGCTCGCGGAGCACCCACGGAGTGCTGGGTGGTGCTGGGGACAGAGGAGGGACTGAGCCAGCCCCAGCCTGGCCACAACGCAGGCCAGGCCAGGCCAGGGGTGGACAGAGCTGCTGGCCGCAAGAGGCAGGGCCTTGTAAGGCGAGGTGAGGAGGCCAGGCTTTCCCTCAGGGCACTGGGGAGCCATGGGAAGGTTTTGAGCCGGGGAGGGCAGAATCAAGTTCGCACTTAGGAAGACACCAACCCCCCCCAGGTGCCTGTTGAGTGAGCCGAGGGTGCCGGGTGCAGGGTGCAATTGGGGAGGAGAGGTAGGATCCAAGCAGGAAGGGGCCGGGGGAGGTCCGGGCAGGGAGGTGCAGCAGCCTCACCCGGGAGACGAAATCTTGTTCCAGCTTCTCCATCAGGAGGTCGGCCGGCTTCTGCTCGTAGGCCTTGTAGGTCTCCAGGTACCGCCCGGCCTCCTCGGGGCTGGGGTGAGAACATTCGAGTCAGCCGGCATGGCGGGCGGTTGGGGGGGAGAGGGGGTGTGGTCACGTTTTAGCTTCATTTCATTGTGGTGGTGCTCCTCGCCATTCCAAACTCCAATGCACAGTAAACTGAACTTTCCTCCCCTACAAGGTCCCTGGCGGGAACCCCGGCCCCGCACATCTTCACAGTCTTTGCTGGCTGCGGGGCAGAGCCTGGGAGCCTGGCCAGCTGTTGGGGTCAGGGTCAGGTTTCGCCCTTCCCACCTCTGTGACCCCGGGGCCAGTGACTTGCTCTCTCCGGGCCTCAGGGTCCTCGTCTGCAAAGTGGCGCGGATGGCAGAACTGTGACACAACGTGCGTCATCGCTCCCAAGTGCTCAGAACCGGGCCTGGCACTTAGAGCCCATTTAAGAAATGTGAGCTATTCTGGAAGGGAAGTCAGCGTGGAGCCGAGAGCGAGAAAAACCAGAAACACTGTTACTATTTTCCCAGCCACAGGAAGACAAAATTCCCAATTCAGTTCCCACTGAAGGTTTTTAATATAGTGCACCTTCGAGAAAAAGGCTGCTGGATGAGCCGACTGCTAAATCTTTTATAGCAACTAACCCAATTTAATAATCACCATTAATTTTCACGTCAGGCACTGGGTGGTTTTTTTTTTTCTTTTTTGACACGTAATGAACGGTTTCAAGGGTAGGTGGGACAACCAATTTTTTTTTAAACGTTTATTCATCTTTGAGAGACAGAGACAGAATGGAAGCAGGGGAGGGGCAGAGAAAGAGAGAGGGAGACACAATCCGAAGCAGGCTCCAGGCTCTGAGCTACCTGTCAGCACAGAGCCCAACATGGGGCTTGAACCCACAAACCGGGAGATCCTGACCTCAGCCGAAGTCAGACGCTTAACAGACTGAGCCCCGCAGGCACCCCGGACAACCACATCTTAAAAAGGGTCAAGTTTAGTAGCCTTGTTTGTTTCTGGAACTTGAGACGAGGGAGTTGAGTCCAAGTACGGGAAGGATTCGTGCTGAGGCATTTTCTGTTGGCCTTCAAATCCCAGCGAATAAGCCACGTCTACTGATGAAGCGCTGGTCCATATTCTTGAAAGAAACATTCATTTTTCTAGTTCTGGCTTTTTTGCCCATTACATGAGCTTTGTGACTCTCCTCTCACCGCAGCACGGTTATCGTTCCGGTTCTTAATAGTTTGTTCAGGGCACACAAGTGAGCACACTGTGTCTGGTTCTAGAATTTGCTTTCATTTTTGCACTCTGCAATATCAGCAGGCTGTCTTTCCGTGTCAGCAGAAGGGGCCTGACCTCTTATGGAATGGTTGCAAAATATCCCATAATTTGGATGTAAGGATGTAGGAAACATTCCCTTTCTGGGGGCCTCGGCACTGTTCTAACTCATTGTGTTCAGAAGCTTCCAGAATCTCCCGAGGGATCCTCGAAGGCAGTTATTATTTTCAAACTCTTATACACAGAAGGGAAAACAGACCAGCGGCAGTTGAGTCACTTGCCCAAAAGCCCTGTCGGCAGAGTACGCAACTCTTGATCTCTTGGGGTCATGAGGTCAAGGTCATGACCTGGCCTATCTGCAGGATGGAATATTACGCAGCTGGAAAAGAATGTGCATCCGGGACAATGGGACATTATTCAGCAACAGGATGACTGAGCTACCACGGCGCCAGGGTGGCTCAGTCGGTCATGGTCTCACAGTTCGTGCATTCAAACTCCACACTGGGCTCTCTGCTGTGGGTACAGAGCCTGCTTTGGATCCTCTGTCCCCCTCCCTCTATGCCCTCCCCTACTTGCTCTCCCTCTCTCTTCTCTCTCAAAAATGAATAAAGATTAAAAAAAAAAAAAAAAACGACATACGATAAAGACCCACATTACGGAGGAACTGGCATATTTTTTCCTACACACAAGGAGAACCGTGGGTTTTGCTATTTCTACTACATATTGTATGATTCCAACTCTCGGATACCCTGAAAAAGGCGAAACTAAGCCGACTGTAAAAAGATGAGGAGTTTGGGGGTGGAAGGGATGAATAAGTGGCGCACAAGGGAAATTTTAGAGCAGGGCAACTCTTCTGTGTGATACAGAAATTATGGACACATATACCTCCGTCAAGACGCCTAGAATATAAAAGAGAGAGCGAACCTTAACATCAACTGTGCACTTTAGTCAGTAATAATAACATATCGACACAGGTTCATCAGTTGTAGCAAATGTACCACACTGATTAATACAAGATCTAGGGATGCCTGGCCGGCTCTGTGGGTAGAGCATGTGACCCTGGATCTCGGGGTCCTGAGTTCAAGCACCACTCTGGGCTTGGAGCCTACTTTTATTTTTATTCTTTGTATTTATTTTTTGAGAGAGACAGAGAACAAACTGGGGAGGGGCAGAGAGAGAGGGAGACACGGAATCCAAAGCTGGCTCCAGGGTCTGAGCTGTCAGCACAGAGCCCGACGCGGGGCTCAAACCCACAAACCGTGTGATGGTGACCTGAGCCAAAGTCGGATGCTCAACCGACTGAGCCCCTGGGCGCCCCCCCCCCAAAAAAAAACTTTCAAAGGGGCACCTGGGTGGTTCAACCAGTTAAGCATCTGACTCCAGGTTCCGATCAAATCAGGTCATGATCTCAGGGTTTATGAGTTCAAGCCCTGCATCATGCCTAGTTGGGCTTCTCTCTCTCTGCTTCTCCCTTGCTTGCTCTCTCTCTCTCAAAATAAATAAATAAACTTAAAAAAAAAAAAAGAGAGGGAGAGAGAGAGAGACCTCCAGGTCATGATATGCCGTCACGCAGCACGGAACAGCATGTACATATACTATGTGCCTTTACCACCGCATATATAGACTGTGTGCCCGCACCATATACCACACCTACGCGCAACTAGATGTGTGCACACACACCGTTTCCGTATTGCTTCTCATTTCCGAAATGCATGAACATGCCCTCTATTTAACAGCAAAAAGTTTAAGCAGTACCTATGTTCAGAACGAACACAGAAGCAGAGAGTAAGCCCCCCTCATCCACCCCTGTCCAGGGCCTGCAGCCTTCGTCGCCCTTCCTGCTTTATCCACATAAGCATCTGTTCATGAACACAGCTCGTTTTCCTTCCTTCTGTATATAAATTAAACATGAGGCCGTCTGCTTCTGCAACTCTGGGTCTCACCCCCCTGCACCGACGGCCCGCACCACTAGGCACAGTCACCAGCACACGGGAGCAGGGATTATCCGAGTAGGAAGACTGGCATCTATCTTCGGCTTTAATAATTTTTTTTAACGTTTTATTTATTTCTGAGAGAGAGAGAGACAGAGTGAGCAGGGGAGAGTCAGAGAGGGAGACATAGAATCCGAAACAGGCTCCAGGCTCTGAGCTAGCTGTCAGCACAGAGCCCAAAGCGCGGCTCGAACCCACGAACTGTGAGATCATGACCTGAGCCGAAGTTGGAGGCTTAACCGACTGAGCCACCCACGCAGCCTTGAATGTTTATTTCTCATTCTTGAGAGGGAGAGCAAGAAAGAGCGAGCGCCAGTGGGGGAGGGGCAGAGAGAGAGGGAGACCGAGGATCTGAAGTAGGCTCTGCACTGTCAGCACAGAGCCAGAAGCGGGGCTGGAACTCACGAACTGCGAGATCACGACCTGAGCTGAAGTCAGATGCTTAACCAACTGAGCTACGGGGACGCCCCAGCACCTCGTGTTTTAAACTGTACTTTTTTCTTGATAAACCATATGGCTGATGTTTTTTTCATGTGTTTTGGCAACCTGAATTAGACTCGTATTTGGGTTCTTATTGACTTGTGGGAAGTCCTCTCCATATATAAATATATAATAAATATGTTTAAATATATGCACATGAATATAAACATTTAAATGTATTTGCACTGTATAAATATAACTTACATATACATATATAAGTTAGAGACGTTAAGTATTCTATATTTATATGTGTGTATATATATATATATACACTTCTATATGTAATATATACACAGCAAATACTTTGTCATAATTTGTCACTTGTCTTTCAACTTGATGTACAGTATCTCTTACCACCCAGAAGTTTAAAAATTTTAATTTTCTCGAGCCAGCCAAGCTTTTTCTTCATGGCTTTGGGGTCTTGCTTTGGGAGACTTTTCCGGGGCGCCTGGGTGCCTCAGTTGGTTAAATGTCCGACTTCAGCTCAAGTCATGATGTTGCGGTTCACGAGTTTGGGCCCCGTGTCGGGCCCTTTGCTGACAGCTCAGAGCCTGGAACCTGCTTCGGATTCTGTGTCTCCCTCTCTCTCTGCCCCTCCCCCACCCATATTCTGTCTCTCTCTCAAAAATAAATAAACACATTTTAAAAATTAAAAAAAAAAAAGGACTTTTCCTACCCCAAGATTATAAAAAATATAATATTCTCCTGGGCTGCCTGGATGGCTCAGTCGCTTAAATGTCCAGCTTTAGCTCAGGTCATGGTCTGGTGGTTTGTGGGTTTGAGCCCTGCATGGGGCTCTGGGCTGTCAGTACAGAGCCCAGAATCCGCTTCGGATTCTGTGTCTCCCTCGCTCTCTGCTCCTCCCCCACTCGTGTTCTAGCTCTACTCTCTCAAAATTAAATAAACATTAAAAAATTTTTAAATAGTCTTCGGAAACCTGGATGTGGAATGAATTATTCAGACAGGCTTTAGGTCTAATTCCTAAGTGAGAAGCATGGTCCTGGCAATTTGATCTACATCACCTGCTTTTCTGACTACAGCCCTGTAAGAAAAATATTAAAACCTTATTTTAAAGATGCAGAAATGGAGGCCGAAAGAGAGGCAGTGCCTGGGCCAGGCTCGCACGGGGAGCTCCTGGCAGAAGCAAAGGGCTGGGGGGCGGAAGGGCGGAATGACTCTCGGGATAGAGGCTGACCTGGGCGGGGAGCCTCCGTCTCACCTCCAGGCAAGGACCAGGGTGCAGTCAGCCAGGATGCACATCTTAGCCAGCTCCTTGAGGGCCTTCTGTGGATCTTTCTGGGTGGAAAAGAGAATCAGAATGGGAAATCTGGTGGAAAACAAGGAATTAGAGTCTTGAAAACACGGTAGGGTAGGGTGCCAAGAGCCTTCCACTCCACGGCCACTCCCTAAGCTCTGACTGGGTGCCCGCCTGCACCGGGCAATGCCAGGACCCCACAGGAAACAAGACAGCCCGGGCTCTGCCCTCTGGGGCTCACGCTCTGGTGAGGGAGATCAAACTGTCCCCCCCATACAGTGATGACCCAGAATGGCCAGGATTGGGAAGGGAGAGGAGGAGCATCTGAGCTGCCTAGGGGATCAGGGAGAGCTTCCTGGGGGAGGGGACATCTGAGCTGAGGCCTGAAGGAGGCCGAGGAGGAGTGAAGGAGGAAAAGGGAATTTTAGACATAGGGAGGACGGGAGGGGGGAACAAGGCCTTGAGGAACTGCAATTGACACGGAATGGGGTGGAGAATGTAAAAGAAAGGGCGACCACACAGCTCAGAAACGAAGCCAGAGAGTAAGGCAGGGACTGAGTGACACGGCCTCACGGGCCATAGAGGGGCACTGGGGAGCGACGGAGGGGTCCGGACATCAGATCCGTGCTTTAGGGAACCCCCCACCCTCCCGGCTGCTGTGAGGGTGCAAGGGGCCGGGAGGAGGCTGGAGCAGGGATCCGGGCGGGCCGGGCTGTGAAGACAGGATGACACCACTTCGAACCCCGCTTAGGTGGCAGAGCGCTGGGACGGGCGGAAGAGGTGTGGGGACCCGCGGAAGAGGTGTGGGGAAGATGGAGGATTTTACCCCCGCCCCCCCCACCCCCCCCCACCCCGCCAACGCAGGGCATCCATCTCAGATGTAAACAAACCAGTTCCTACTGAGGTTTCAACTCGTGTCTACCCTCGGGACTCCCCAGGCCGCCGGGCTGCTGGGAGGCCCCGCAGATGAGGACAAGGAAGAGGAGGGGCAGCGACCCCCGCTTACCACGTCCACCTGGACGAGCAGGACCCTCAGGGCGAAGCTCTTCCCCAGGCTCTGCAGCCGCCCGTGGATGTAGTCCGGGTGGAGGTTGTGGTAGCGGAGGCTGGGGGGGCGGGGGAGAGGGAGGGATTGGGAGGTCTCGGTCTCCCCGGTCTCCCCGAGACCCCGGAGCCCTTCTTCCCTCTCACCGGAATGCAGAGGGCGCGGGCAACACAAGGATCTGAGGCCCAGAGAAGTTAAGTGACTTGCCCCACGTCACCCAGCAAGGAAGGCGATGGAGGGATTGGCAGAAATAGCTGCCCGGCTCTGCTCCCTGGAGGGATGGACCCCAGGCTCCTCCCTGGGGAAGGGAAGAGACTCGGGCAGAGGACATGAGACTAGAGAGCGTGGACCGGGGGGAGGGGGGAGGGGACACACAGCGCAGCTGGATCCGGGGAGCAGGCCCATCCCAGGGATTGTCTGCTTTAGCCTCAAAGGGCGCTGGCAGGGAGGGGCTGGGGCGGCTCCTCCGCCCAGGGAACTAGGGGACATCTGTGCCCAGTGGCCACCAGGTCCCATACCTTGCAGGGAGGACAGGGACTTAGAAGGTTCGCTTCCCCCACCTAGTTCTGTGTGGAGAGGGGCCCCCGGGAATGGAGAGGGAACTTGCTCAACTGGGGTGCAGGCTGGCGAAATCCCGGCCTCTCATCAACTCACCCCGGATGTTTGGGACATGAGGGACCAGACCGCCCCCCAACCTGCTTGGAGCCAGGCCTCCAGGCACCCGGCCCGTCCTGCGTCACAACCAGAGTCCGGGCCCGCCGCGCTCGTCCCTCTGGGCACCTCCAGGCAAAGACGTCTCCCTCCCCCGCCAGGCCACCCCGGCCCAGAGCTGACGGGGCCACACACAAAGGTCTCCTACCCAGTGGTCCCCAACACGGGAGCACAGCCTCCCTAGGCCTTCAGGACACCGGGGCGCCCCTCGGAGCTCACCTGAGGAACAGGGCACAGGTGCTCTGGCCCAGCACGTAGTCGGGAAGCACGTCACCAAACTCCCAGGGCACGTTACGCACAAACTTCAGCACGGGGTTGCCCCTCTGGCGAGGGAAGGGCGGGTATCATTAAAAGGGATGGCCCTGGGACCGCTGCCAGTCCCAGGGCTCCCTCCCCCCACCTCTGTCAACACCTTCCCATCCCCCTCCTGCCTGTACCTGTTCCCCGGTCTCCAGAGTCCAGCTCCTCAGCCCAGAATGCCCTTGGCGCTCTGGCCCCAACCCAGGCCCTGCCCCCCAGCCCTGGGCCTTAACGAAAGGGTCCCCGGGTCCATCTCTCCGGCTCAGCCCTCTCCCCTAGAGCCACGTGCATGTCCTGGGGTTGCTGGACACCCCCCCCCCATGTCTGCCTCGCTGCATCCCAAGTGCCTGCAGCACCAGCCTCCACAGCAGCCCGCACACCTGCCCCTCCTCCTCTCATCCCAGGGACAGCCCCCCCACCAGAGACCCAAGCCTGGTCACATCCCTCTCCTCCTCCTCAGGTGGGACGTCTCCCTTCAAGGATTTTTTTTCCCAGTTTATTTGTTTTGAGAGAGAGAGAGAGAGAGAGAGGGAGGCAGAGCAAGAATCCCAAGCAGGCTCCGCGCTGTCAGTGCAGAGCCTGACGCAGGGCTCGATCTCATGAACTCTGAGATCACGCCCTGAGCCAAAATCAAGAGTTGGATGCTTAAGGGAGCCTGGATGGCTCAGTCGGTTCAACTTGGGTCATAATCTCACAGCTCATGGGTTCGAGCCCCGCGTCGGGCTCTGTGCTGACAGCTCAGAGCCTGAACCTGTCTTCAGATTCTGTGTCTCCCTCTCTCTCTGACCCTACCCTGCTCACAATGTCTCTCTCTCTTTCTCTCAGAATAAAACATTAAAAAAATTAAAAAATAAATAAGCATTAAAAATAATATTTTAGGGGCGCCTGGGTGGCTTAGTCGGTTAAGCGTCCGACTTTCGCTTAGGTCATGATCTCGCGGTTCGTGGGTTCGGGCCCCGCATCGGGCTCTGTGCTGACTGCCAGCTCAGAGCCTGGAGCCTGTTTCAGTCTGTGACTCCCTCTCTCTCTGACCCTCCCCTGCTCACGCTGTCTCTCTCTATCTCTCCTAGAAATAAAAAAAAAAATAATAATAATAATAATAATATTTTAAAAATAAATAAATTAAAGTCTTAAAAAATTTTTTAAAACAGGACGAAAAGGCATAGATGAGCTCAGTCACTTGCTCAAGATCACACAGCTGCTTTGTGCCAGAGCAGAATTTGAAGTTGGGCCCAAACAGGGTTTTTTTGTTTTTTTTTTAATTTTTAAAATATTTATTCATTTTTGAGAGACAGAGTGCAAGAGGTAGAGGGGCAGAGAGAGAGGGAGACACAGAATCCGAAGCAGGCTCCAGGCTCTGAGATGTCAGCACAAAGCCCAAGGCAGGGCTCGAACCCAAGAACCGAGGGATCATGACCTGAGCCGAAGTCGGAGGCTCAACCGACTGAGCCACCCAGGCGCCCCTCGATAACTAGGTTTTCAATGAATGAACAAACTTGGGGACAGGAAACTTAGCTGCACTAACACAGAAGAGTGGGTGTTACAGACTAAACATTTGTGTCCCCCCGACCCCCAAATTCATACGTTGAAATCTTAACCCCCAATGTGATGGTATTAGATGAGGTGAGGAGAGGGGCGCCTGGGTAGCTCAGTCGGTTAAGTGTCCAACTCTTGCTTCTGGCTCAGATCGTGATCTTGCAGTTTTGTGAGTTCGAGCCCCATGTCAGGCTCCGGGCTGGCATCATGGAGCCTGTTTGGAATTCTCTCTTTCCCCCTCCCCCACTCCTGCTGTTTCTGTCTCTCTCAAAATAAATAAACTTAAAAAAAAAAAAAAAAAAGGAGGTGAGAGGTGAGGAGGTCAGGAGGGTGGAGCCCCCACGAAAGGGATTAGTGCCCTGATAAAAGGGACCCCAGAGAGCTCCTTTACCCCTTCTGCCAGGCGAGGGCACAGAGAGCTGACAACAGTCTATGAAGCATGAGCTGGGACCTTCCTGGACTGCCTTGATCTTGGCGTTCCCACCCTCCAGAAGTGTGAGAAATAAAAGCTTATTGTTTAAACGGCCCAGTCCACAGTATTTTCGTTTGCACAAAATAATCCAACACACGGCGTGATCGTGACCTGAACCCATACACGGCAGTTGGATGGATGGACGAAAGAACTGCACCGCCCAGAGCACAAGGGCCGGAGCCCTGCCTTCCTTCCGCTGCCAACCTGAACGCCACCCCGTCCCCGTGTTTCCCACCAGAAGTCTCAAAGCCCCTCCTCACCTGCTTCCCCTCCTCACCTGCCGCGGGCTCACAATGATGCTACTGGACTTCGTCCCCGGCTTGGGGGCCTGGCCGGGGGGCTCTCCTGCCACGGCTTCTGGCCCTGTGGGGTGCGGAGCCCCAGCCCCCCCTGGAGGTCCCGAGATGGCATACTCAGCGTAGGTCTGAGGGGCCGCCTGGGGTGAGGTCTCCGTGGCGGGAAAGCTCCGGGTGGACTTGAATAAGGGCTTGAGCTGAGGGGGGAGGGGGAGAAGTGTCAAAATCTGAATCTAGCCACCTCTCCCTGCTCCTAGGCCTCCATACTGGTCCCAGCCCCCAACTTCCCTCCCTCGGACCAGTGCACCTCCTCGCCTGACCCTTGCCTACATCCTTACTGCCCATGGTCTGTTCAGGGTCATTCATGTCCCTCTGCTCAGAGACCTTGGTGGCTCCCATCTCAGAGTAAAAGCCAAAGCTGTTGCCACAGCCCACAAGGTTCTAGAAGATCTGTCCCTGCCCCCTTGTCCCACCTCCCACCTCTCTCCCCTTCCTTTCTCTATTCCAGTCCCACTGGCCTTCACGCTGCCCTCAAATCTGTCGGGCTCTCTCTGATCCTGGGCCTTAGCCTCGGCTGTCCCTTCTGCCCCCAGATGTTGCCCCAGAGCTCACTCCCTCACCTCTTTCACATCACTGCCAAGATGTCACCCCCTCAGAGAGGCAGTCCCTTGACCTGAGGCAGCGCCTCTCCCCCGTCACCCCCTATATCCTGAGCCCACTTTTTCTCCCTAGCACACCGGGAGTAGCCAGTACTCAGCACCCGCCAATTGGTTTCCCGCGGGAACGTGATGTCCATGTTGCCGGATCCTTCGATTTACCAAAAGATGTCAAAAGGGCAGACTTTTCTTGTGAATTGCAAACTCCCTCCCATTCTCCAATGTCAGCAATAAATTCGTGCTTTGCAAGCCAGGGTGCTGGCCATAAAGCACATCCCAAAGCCACCCGCCGCTCGCGTCAGCAGCCTCGGCCTGAGCCCTGTGCTGAGGCCACCATGACATTTTACAGATTAGGGAAACAGACTGGTGGAGAGCAAAGGACTGCTTTCCCAAGGTGACCCAGGCCACAACATCTCCGGACCCCCACCGTGGGCCTCGGAGGCCCCTTCCTGTCCTCCTACCTCTCGATCCCCCCCCACCCCGTCTGCCCGCGTTCTCCCCGTCTCCTCCGCCCTACCCCTGCAGGAGGGGCCTCATCCTCGCCCAGTGGTATGAAGAATTTCTTCCTGGTGGGTGGCCCGGAGGGCTGCCGCGCTCCCTCCTCCTCCATCCCTGGGGTCTTCTGGGGCCTGAAAGTGAAGGCATGGCGGCGGGGGCGAGTGAGACAGCAGCGCCTGCATCCCCATCCTTCCAGCAGGAACTCCCACTCCCAGCGACCCCGCCCAAAACATCCCAGGGCTCCAGAGCCTCAGGTTCCAAACACCGAGCGCTCCGGAGTCTACAAAGCCCCGCCCACGCGGAGCCGCACCTCCCGTTCGCCCCGCCCCTTACCGGTCCAGACTTTCCATTCGCCCCGCCCCTAGTCCCCGCGTTCTATTCACTCCACCCTCACTGTTCCCCGCCTTCCATTTGCCAGCCTCAGCCTCGGTCCCCCTCCGTCCCGCCCACAGGGCTGGCACTTGGATACCCTCCCCTCGCTCCGTCTCGTCCATCTTTCAGACGCTGCAACGACTGGTTGGCCTCTGCGGCTGCCAATCGCCGCCGGCGGTCCCTCCCCGCGGCCCCTCACGACCCAGCCCCGCTGTCTGAGCGCCGCGAGGACTCACCTCCTCGTCCCTGAGCCGGGAGTGCGAGACCGGAGAAGAACCGAGGCGTCCCGCCGGCGCGGCCAGCGCGGCCCCGCGCTCGCCTCACTTCCGGCCTCTCTAGCCCTCGATCCCGCCCTCACCGTTCCCCGAGGGTAGAGTTGCGACAGGGGCGATCCTCGCGCAGCTCTCTATGGTCCTGGAGGACTGCGGAGGCTTAGGCTGCAGAGAGAGTCTATCTCCCCGCCTGAACGTCCCTAGTTGCCGAGAATTTCGATTTTGGTGCCCTTATTAAGCACCAGCTTGTGCTCGGGTTCCGGACAGGATTCGGGGGGGCAAATGATAGGAGATGAAATTAGGTCCCTCCCCTCAGGCTTGGATGGAATCCCAGCTCTGCCATTGACTTGGCCTCAGTTTCCACATTCATTCGTTATTTCATTCCCCCCAGCGCCTCCTCTGTTCCCAGCCCTGTGAGCGGCAGTGCTAGTGACTCAGCGGTGACCAACGACAACCATAGCCCCCTCCTGCCTTCCTGGAGCTCACAGTCCATTCATTGAGAGAGGCAGGCTCTGTCCCAAAACGTGATGACCTGGAGTGGTAGGCTGGGGACGGGAGCTCCCAGACGGCCAGGGAGATGGGAGGGGCCGCCCACCCAGCCCGAGGGTAGGGAAGGGCTTCCTGGAGGAAGGGACATCTGAGCCGACCTGGTTGATGAGTTAGTATTAGTCATTTCCTGAAAGAACAGTCTCACGCTGTTCTAACTTGCGGTTCTCTGATTACTAAGGAGAGAGAACATCTTTGTGAGTTTATTGGTCTTATGTACCTTGTCCTGTGTGGATTGCTTTGTCATATCCTTTGCCCATTTTTTAAATGCGATTGTATGCCGTTTTTATTAGTATTAATTTGTAGGAGTACTTTATGGATTCCGACTCTAATTCTTAGTCAGTTTAATATATATCCCAAATATTTCCTCCTTGTTTGCACTTTGTATTTTTACGTCTTTGTTTATGTCACAGGGAAGTTCTTAGTGTTTATTCACATTGATTTATCAGTCTGTTCCATCCTGACTTTGGCTTTTGGTGTGTTGTTTAGGAAGCCTGCTATACCCCAAGGTCAGAGATACATCCTACAACTGCCTATAATATTTTTCTGAGTCTTGATTTTGTTTCTGTCTTTCATCTGCTTAAGACTTATTTTTGAAAATGCACCATGGTAGGAATTTATGATGAATGTAGCCAATTGTCTCCAAACCCACTTATTATAAAAATCAATCCTTTCCTGGGGTGCCTGGGTGGCTCAGTCGATTAAGTGTCCAACTTCAGCTCAGGTCATGATCTCGGAGTTCGTGAGTTCCAGCCCCGTATCAGAGTCTGTGCTGACAGCTCAGAGCCTGGAGCCTGCTTCTGATTCTGTGTCTCCTTTCTCTCTCTCTCTCTCTCTGCCCCTCTCCCACTCTCTGTCTCTCTGTCTCTCTCTTTCTCTCTCAAAAATAAACATTAGAAAAATTTTAATCAATCCGTTACCCAGTTTTGATATATCACCTTTATCATGAACCAAGTTCCCATATATACACTGGTCTATTTCTGACATTTCTAGTAAATTTGGTTAAAAATCTCTATATCTGTTCTTTGCCTCCAGGCTGCACTGCTGGATGATTTTATTCTGATGTTTTCTTATCACATTAGGCAAGTCCCCCCTCTGTTCCATTTCAAATCTATCTTTACCATTTTTATACCTTTTCTAGGGATTTTAGCAGCTGCTTTCTACTTCCACGAAAAATCCCATTGAGACTGAGATTGGAATCTCAATGAACTGACAGATTCATTAAAAGAAGCTTGACATCTTTTTCAGATAGATAAATATATTAATTGTCTCTATGTCACCAATCAATCCATCTTCTGTGAGACTACTATAAAAGTTTTTTTTTTTTTTTTTTGGTAAATCATGTTTTTTGGTACAGTCGAGTCATAAATATATTTTTGGTCTTAGCTTCCCAGGACAGCTGTGACAAAGCTCCAAACACTGAGTGGCTCAGTAACAGAAATGTATTGTCTCACAGTTCCAGAGCTGGAAGTCCAAAGTCAGGGTGTTGGTAGGGCTCTGCTCCTTCGTTTATTTTTTATTTTAATTTTAAAAACCTTTTTTATGTTTATTTTTGAGAAAGAGAGAGAGAGAGACAGCGTGAGCAAGGGAGGGTCAGAGAGAGAGAGAGGGAGACACAGAATCTGAAAACAGGCTCCAGGCTCTGAGCTAACTGTCAGCACAGAGCCCAACGTGGGGCTCGAACCCACAAACCGTGAGATCATGACCTGAGCCGAAGTCGGAAGCTTAACCAGCCACCCAGGCGCCCCAGGGCTCTGCTCCTTCTGAATGCACAAGGAAAGACCATCTATCTTCTCCCTGGCTCATGGTCTTTTCCCTGTGTGTGTCTGTCTCTGTGTCTAAACTCCCCTGTTTTATAAAGACACCCATTGTATTGGATTAGGGCCCACATTAATGACCTCATTTTTAACTTGATTATCTCCATAAAGACCTTATTTCCAAATAAGGTCACATTCTGAAGTCTCAGGGGTTAGGACTTTAACATCTCTTTTTGGAGGACAGGATTCAGCCCATAACAATCCTGTTACTTTTTATAACTTTTTTTAAATGTTTATTTATTTTTGAGATAGACAGACAGAGCACGAGCAGGGGAGGGGCAGAGAGAGAGGGAGACACAGAATCCGGAGCAGGCTCCAGGCTCTGAGCTGTCAGCACAGAGCCCGACGTGGCGCTCAAACTCCCAGAACTGAGATCATGGCCTGAGTTGAAGTCAGACACTTAACCCACTGAGCCACCCAGGTGCCCCCATAAAACCTTCCTTCGGAATTCATTTTACTTCTTGCTGGAGTCCATTTGCTTCCAGTTCTTTCAGAGAACATTGTGGATGGTAACGTTATGAGTCTTGCTCATCTGAAAACACCTTCGGTTCATCCTCAAAATTGAAATCCCTGATTCTGGGTTCCTTGTTAGTTCCCTGGCAGAGTTAGGAGATAGGGGTCCTCTATCTCCCTGGCTTCTGGGTCGCTGATGAGAAGTGTTCTGTCCCTGTGATTCTCCCTCCTACATAACCAGCCTCATCACTGGGTGTAATTCTCCCCAAAGGTAATTTACTAGCAATGTGGCCTTGGGCCAAAAACTCAGCCTCTGTCTATATGTCAGTTTGCTTGTTTCTAAAACAGGAAAGAGGGGGTACCTGGGTGGCTCCGTCAGTTAAGTGTCCGTCTTCGGCTCAGGTCACGATCTCACGGTTCGGTTCGTGGGTTCGAACCCCGCGTCGGGCTCTGTGCTGACAGCTAGCTCAGAGCCTGGAGCCTGTTTAGGATTCTGTATCTCCCTCTCTCTCTGACTCTCCCCTGCTCAGGCTGTCTCTCTCTCTCTCTCTCTCTCTCTCTCTCTCAGAAATAAATAAAACATTTTTTTAAAAAAACTTTTTTATAAATAAAATGGGGATGAGGTGCCGAGCTGGCTCGGTCTGTGGGGCACACAACTCTTGATCTCCGGGTTGTGAGTTTGAGCTGATGTTCGGTGTAGAAATGACTTAAAAATGAATAAATAAAAGAAACTGTAAAAAATAAATATGGGGCGCCTGGGGGGCTCAGTCGGTTGAGCGTCTGACTCTTGATTTTGGCTCAGGTCGTGATCCCAGGGCCTTGGGATCGAGCCCCGGGTCAGGCTCCACACTAAGCATGGAGCCTGCTTGGGATTCTCTTTCTCTCTCTCTCTCTCTCTCCCTCCCCCTGCCCCTCTCTCTCGCTGGTGCTCTATTTGAGTCTACCATATAAATGAAATAGCCCTAACCAAGTCCTGGGCAGCTGTTGTGGCTGCTGCTGTGTCACAGTGCACCTGCTGCCGCCCCCCCCCCCCAGCACCCGGCAACCAGGAGGGGCTACCAAACCTCATACTGTGTGAATGAACAGAAAACAGGGGCCAAATGCTACGGCAAGCAACGGGCGCTACTCGGAGCCTCAGTTTCCCCATCTGTAACTGTGGGGGATTCAATAAGCCCACAGAGGACTGTATTGACGTGGACGGTTCACTCATTCCTTGAGTAACTACTTATTGAGCAACTACTGTGTACCAGGCACTGGGGACACAGATCCGAACAAAGCAGTCCACATCCCTGCCCTGTGCAGCTAATGGTCTCATGGAGGAGACACACCATAAGAACGAAACACACGGGGGCTTCTGGGTGGCTCAGTTGGGTAAGGGCCTGGCTCAGGTCACGATCTCACAGTTTGTGAGTTCAAGCCCTGTATCCGGCTCTGCGTGGACAGTGCGGAGCCTGCTTGGGATTCTCTCTCTCTCTGCCCCTCCCCTGCTCACTATCATTCTCGCTCTCAAAATGAACTTTAAAAAAAAAGAAAAAGGAAAAAGAAACCACACCGGGTGCCTGGCTGGCTCAGTCGTTCCTCTCAGGTCATGATCTCCCAGTTGATGAGTTCGAGCCCCACGTAGGGCTCAGAGCCTGGCGCCTGCTTCAGATTCTGTGTCTCCCTCGCTCTCTGCCCCTCCCCAGCTTGCACTGTCTCTCTCTCTCTCAAAAATAAATATACATTTTTAAAGAGAGTTCCAGACAGCCATACCTGCTATGAGGAAAATAAAACACAGCACTGTGAAGCAGGTGATGCGGAAGGTGGGGGGTGGGGGGGTCACACGCTGATGAGGTCTATATATAATAAAAATAGTACCATCAAAGTAGATTGAGCACTTATTATGACCTAAGACCTCACAATAATCCTCCCCTTAGGAATCAGTAGGTCATGTGACATATGTAGGAACCGAGGCACCAGCGACATAGAGAAAGACCGTGGAAACTTGTCCCTGAATCCGAGTCAAGAGTGCTTCCAGTTGGCCCACTTGGGCGGGGCTTAATTTCCCCCTTCGGGGAATTCAATTGCCAAACCAGCGTGCAACTCGTGCCTTTTGCGCCAGGGGGCGCTGGCTCCCCACAAGAGGATTTGGGGGCGTCGGGGCGCCGGGAGCTACTTCGCAGAAGCTACCCGGGGCAGAACCCCTCGAAGGCGGCCGGCGGCCCCTTCGCTTCTTCCGAACTCGTTTCTTTACCGCAGAAATTCGGCAACGGGCC